AGATTCAGGTGCTCCAATCACCTCCATGGTCACAGGTGTAGAAAATCAAGCACTTAGGCATGCAGACTGCTTCTACAAACATTTGTGAAAGAATGGGTCATTCCAGGAGCTCAAGCGTTCAAGCATGGTACCGTGATAGTTCGCCACCTGTGCAATAAGTCCATCCATGAAATGTTCTTGCTACTAAATATTCTGCGGTCAACTGTTAGTGGCATTATAAAAAAGTGGAAGCAACTGGAAACAACAGCAACTCGCCATGTAAAATGACAGAGCGGGGTCAAAACATGCTGAAGAGCACAGTGCGCAGAGGTCGCCAACTGTCTGCAGAGTCAATAGCTAAAGACCTCCAGACTTCATTTGGCCTTCAGATTAGCACAACAGTGCTTAGAGAGCTTCATGGAATGGGTTTTCATGGCCGAGCAGCTGCATCCAAGCCTTACATCACCAAGCGCCAGATGCAGTGGTGTAAAGCACGCCACCACTGGACTCTAGAGCAATGGAGACCGTGTTTTTTTGGAGTGACGAATCATACTTCTCTCTCTGGCAATCCAATGGACGTGTCTGGATTTGGGTTTGGCGGTTTCCAGGTGAATGGTTCTTGCCTGACTACATTTTGCAAGTGTAAAGTTTGGTGGAGGGGGTTTAATTAGAGTGGAGACTGCGAGCCAGGCCTTCTTGTCCGACATCAGTGCCTGACCTCACAAATGCGCTTCTGGAAGAATGGTCAAACATTCCCATAGACACACTCCTAAACCTTGAAGACAGCCTTTCCAGAAGAGTTGAAGCTGTTATAGCTGTAAGGGTGGACCAACTCAATATTGAACCCTACGGACTAAGACTGGGATGCCATTAAAGTTCATGTGCGTATAAAGGCAGGTGTCCCAATACTTTTTGCAATATAGTGTATATTTCCATATATCTCCAGCCCTGTTAGATAGATTTCCTGTCCCAGTGACACCCTATTGTACCCTAAGACATGGGATACTACCAGAAAAGACAGTAAGGAGAATTCTCCCCAGTTGGCACACAGATAGCTACATTATATGAAAATGGCAGATGTTCTAACCCTTCTCCATTCTTTTAAATATGGGTGTTTTATTACTGCTTGTATCTCTGTTGGAGATTTATTGCTCTCTTTCCCGCAGAAGGGTCACAGCCTTCAGCTCTAACCCTTTGCTATAGCGACTTCAATGCATTTGACGTTGCAAAAACTGTCAGAGAGGTCAAACCATTCAGATTCTGTCCACGCAATCAGACATTTAAAAAAATATAAAAAAGTTGGTTGCTGTTATCGCACACTACTCTGCCTTTAGGAAAAACCCAGGTAGCTTTAGTATCTGGTGATCTCTGCCTAGAATGTCCTTCATGCTTTGCTAGTCTATTTTTTTTAAGTAGAACACCCCATTTAATTACTGCTAAATGTAGGAAAATCTACAATAAATGTCCTGCTGGTTATACTGTATGATGATCTGTGCAGTTATATTTAATAAATGGTCGCAATGATTTTTGAAGGTCAAAAACCTACTATATTGGTTGAAGTTTAGATATGTGGAATATTTCTGTTTTTGAAAGTGGTATTAAACCCAAAACCAAAATTTTAATATAATGCAGCTTACCAATCAATCATTAGATGTGGTGGCTGCATTCATTTCTTTTTTTGGGCCCCTTTTCCTCTGTTTCTACCTGGTAGCCTGGTCAGTAAAACATCCTCATGTATTAGAGTTCTACATTCTGGATGAGGAGCACAGGGGCACAGCAGACTGCTGCTTTGTAAGTCTGGGGGAGTGTCAGCAAATTTAGACACACTAATTGAAGCCAAACTCCAGCCTCCACTTTAAAGCAGTTAGTTTTGTTCCTTTTGGTAGAAAGATTTTACATAAATAAATGCTGATCATTGTAAGGACCCTTGTCAGTGTTAAAGTGGTTCTAAAGCCTAAACATTCCATTCATTAAGGTAAAAAAAAGTTTAGGTAGCAGTTTTCCCCCCTCACCCCCCGCTTACACTTTCCTTGCCCTCACTCGATCCAGCACCATGCCTTTCTGTAGCGGCTCTCCTTCATCTCCTAGCTCTCGCAGGCATGGCTCTTGCTGCTGTGAGTGAAATCCTGTGACGAGGGAGCAGGGGGTAGGCCCAGGATTGAGCTCACAAGTGTGGTGTGCCATGACAGGAAGTGGCTTCTTATGATGGAACACCAAGAAGAAGGAGACAAAATCGCTAGCAGGGGACCCGAGAAGCAATTTTATTGCACAGAGCAGGTAAGTATAAGCCTGTTTGTTATTTATTAAAAAATGTAAAAAGAGAGTTTACAATAACTTCAAATGGTTTGTCACAACCCTCTAACTGCTAAATCTGCAGGACAGATTGTTCTGATGAAAAACAACAGACATACAGGCAGGATCATCAGGTGAAAATAAAGCCTAAAAGAAGAAACCAAATGCAATCATCACATGCAAGAATTGGTAAACTGCAAAATCATAAATGTTTACTTTTAGGTTTAATACCGCATTAAGAACTTTTTAAGGCACTCGAAATTATATATTTAATTATATGTTGACGGATTGACTAAAGAATTTATTCACTGAAGTGTTTGCCAGTTAATAAAAGATAACCTCAGGTCTGGTAGAAGAATTATGGATGTACATGCTAAAATTTTGTTTTTCATGGGTGAGCACCTTCTGTAATGCAGACATTCCTTCCTACTGTATGTGTTTTTGTTCACTTAGCCACTTACTCCATCACTTTAAATCCCATATTAGGCATCATGCACACTGGGCGTAAAAAACGCCACTTTAAAGGGCATTTGCCTTTTTTTTCAGCCTCTAAACACCCCTCAATGTTATACCCGTGCGTTTTATGTACACATAGGCATTTACAGGCTTTTAGTGGCAAAAAAAAAAAACATCACTTGCTCTCCGAATCTAGAAGCCTTCCACAATGTAGCTAACCCCCTATGACTACGTGCCTTCGCACGAAACGCGTCAGAGAGCGGCTACAGCGGTGTGACGTCACGCCGACCGGCGCCACGAGGGCCCCGGCGGCCATTTGTTATCTTTGTATGGTCAGTATCTCTCCTGCCTCTGCTTGTATACTGTGTGTCTTTGGGAATAAATACCCCTTGCCTATAAGGTATCACACTATTTGGCCTCCTTTGTTCTTTGGGCTCCGGTGGGAGCCCTTTACATCTGCAGAGCGGCCTTTTTTTGATCCTCTATGCGTGGCAAACACCATCAAGTGGCGAGGGGCTTTTGTGACCAGATCTGACCAGACCCATATGAGGACCCTAGGATTATCTGCTTTGAATGCGCATTTGGATTGCGTATCTGGTGAGTGCGCAATCTTTATACTTTTATCACCTCATCCACGAATCCAGGCATTGGAGCTTTTTTGAAGACTCTCTTGGATTTTGAACACGTTATGGACTATACTTATTTTAGTCACCGTTTTGCACTTTAACAGCACCTTAACATTGGTTTATATAATTATATAAGTGTATATTTATCAAGTTAGCGCGCACCTCTCCCCTTTTATGCATTCTAATGTAGGGGAACTGTTGGGACCTGTAGTCTGCCTGAAGAATGGACTTGTGCCTGTGCAGGTACACTGAGGCAGCCACAAGAGTTAGGGACTAAGGTAGATAGGAAAATACTGCAATTTGTTTGGAACTATTATGCCAAGACAAGAATTTTGAGTAAAGCTTTAATCTTTGCCTTTGCCTGGTGTGAAGTTATTCTAAAGAGGTGTAATGCAAATAACCAGTTCACACATGGTCTACAGCATGGGTCAGTAGCACTTTGGGGGTATGAAGACAGCATATGGTTGCCAAGGGTAACTGAGGTCTAACAAATAGCCTGTCATGAAGCATGTACCTGTGGTTGGCAAGACATCCTCTTGTAGTGAGGGAGTTGTTGTCAGTAATATCTTTCCTGGCGGTTCAATCAAACAGTTAATTGATTGTGCTTCATTGAGTTGATTAGAGTGGAATAGTTCTTATTTGGCAGTGGTTTTTGTAAACATTGGCAAAGTAAAGGGTTGTATTTAACTGAATGGTTATCACAGAAGGCTTTCGAGGAAAACATTTCAACTCTGTCATTATAGACCCAGTGGCCTTGTGCCTTCAAAGCTTTTTGAACATCTAGCCATGGCAAAATGACCATTATACTGTATACCATAGCATGCAGAGTTTGGTAACAAAAAATGTTGTTTTCGTACATCTCTCAAGGACTAGTTTGGATCTCTGTGCATTGTTTGCAGAACTGCAGAACCTCCAATGGCTTATTGCAACCGGGGGTATGTGTGAACATATTAAAGTGTATTTTGTATAAAAAACTATATTTAGGTTTGGGAAAGTGGGACAGGATCCTGACCATTTTCAAAAGAAACCTTGTATCAATAGGTGGTGATTTAAAAAAAACCCACTTTGTAAATCTTCCCAAAACTAATATTTCAGATCTCAGGTAGATGGAAAAAGTTGAACCATCTACCAGTTTCGTACATCTCTCAAAAATGACTATGGTGGTTGGATCTCTGTGCTCTCCAAAGTTTGCAGAAAGCTGCAAACCTCCATTTTATGGCTACAAAGCATTGCAGCACCCCATGGGAGATAATCCCAAAAACTCTGTAGGGCAAGAATGGAGCCAGAAGGAATGGCACAAAGATGTCAGGACTAGAGCTCCAAGAAATAAAACACAGTGGATGAGGAAGTCAACTAGAAGACTCTACTTGTGATTAAAATATTACTTTTTAGTGGACCAGCTGTTTAAAAACTGACCTTTATGACCACCTCCCAGCATAAACAATGTGGCTATGCATAGACATGTTTTCATGGTGAGCAAAGAATAATTGTCATTGGGTCAGGTCCCAGATTGTATATTACCTGCTTTTGTATTGCTAGGAAATTACAAAAAATATGAACTGGCTATTTTTACTCATTTCTAAAGTGAAATCTCAGTATAAAAAAGCCATTTTCAAGAAATTATGTTTGATTATGTCTTGTTTCCAGCTGCGAAGAGTCAGGGAAGCAGAAAAACAATGCAAACCTCTGCTGGAAAAGAATAAGTGCCTCACTAAAAGAAATGATGAACTGATGCAATCTTTACAACGTATGGAGGAGAAGCTGAAAGTCCTTTCAAAGGAAAATGCAGAAATGGTAAGTATAAAGATCACAAAATATGTTGTGATATGGCGTGCTTAAAGAGAACCAGTCATAATTTGTAATAATTTGAATCTAAAGTCATGGCTATTTTTTAATAACAGCCTATCACATGCTTGAGCTCTTTGCTAATAGCAGAAACTCAAAATATTTCCTATAACAACAGTGAAGTCAGGACCTTGTTATTTGACATTTTTTGCTGCTCCAGCAACCTGGAGAGCAAAGAGGCATTCGTTGTTATGCCTGACCATGGGCCCTAAATGTCATGATAATTTTGGAAGTTCTGTTGCATTGCAACACCACCTTAGTTTTAGTATTTAATTTAATAATTTTATATTTGTAAAATTATTATAGTGTGGAAAAAAAAATCCCATCACTGCAGTGCAGCTACATGTTGAGATGAGATGAAAAAAACATAATTTTAGCTGCCTGCCACTACCCACTTTGTAATATGATGTATTATAGTAGTGCATGTGTGTGTAGGTTATTCATAGCATACTTGGTAAGGCAGGATATTCAGCGACTTTTAGAACCCTGGTGGCTCTGTTAAAATGGCATATCTGACAAATGATGAATCTGGTAACCTGGCCCCTTTTGGTACCATGCTGTGGTAATATGGCAGTAGTTCATTGCTTTAATTCTGTCACTGGGAGCATTGCAACATCACAGCATACTTATTATGATGAAATATGATATGAAATAAAAGAAATGTTCACGTTTGCACACTGATATTTTAATGTTTACTAAATGTATGATGCTTCTGTTCATGATGTGGTACAAACGTAAGAACAAAAATTGCAGTCTTCTATTATTACAGTGTATTGTGTCTACAGAGAGAAACTCCAGGAAGTATTTCAATATATTAAGTTATTAATGGTTTCCAGAAAAGAACTGCAACTTTTCTGAAGACAGAAAATCTGATCAGTCTAATTTTCTATTAGAGAATTACATAATTCAGAGCTGTCAAGTATATTAGCCTTGTAAAGTGGTATTTAACTGACAGTAGGATACAAGTGGACTGAAGGGTACCAAAGTTAGAGAACCCATACATGTCTGGCAGTGTGGAATTATATATATTAACTTTAATTTTCCTTACTGGGGAGATTTTTTCTTACTTACTAATGTAGTGCAGCTCTAAATAGCCAGGGCAAGCTAGAGTTCAGGTTTTAGTTAAGAGGGCTGAGTAGCATCCTGGGTATAAATGTTAATAAGGTCAAATTTCGGTCAGAGCTGAGAGGCTCTGCAGGTCAGTTCCCTGATACCTCCCCTTGCTCTAAAACCTTGGAGAAGATTCTAGAAGCTGTGGGCAGGGGTGAGGAGGAGCTGGCTTGCACACTTAGGGGACACTGGCCAATCCCCAAACAGGAGCCTTGGCATTGGGCCAGGACAGCCCTTAAATGTGAGAGAGCCTGCTCAGCAGCAGGAGAGTTCTGGTGGAAGATGGAGAGAGAAGGCTGGGGTGCAGGAGCCTGGAAGGGGACCTAGTTGTGAAGGGGCCCACTTCCAGGCAGTAGCTCTGGAAAGAGAGGAAAGCTCAGGACCTCACCGGCCCCAAGAGCGAGGACCACCTTTGCAGTAGGGAAGGAGCAGTTCAGCAGAAGGCCTGGAAGCAGCTACCAACCCACCAGCTCATAGGACTGAGTGAGTAGACCTACACACCCTGGACCAGTTAAGGGGAAACAGGCACTCTAGTGGGAAACTGGATTAGCTTTCTTACCCGAAACTGTTTTACACTGAAGTGGCAGGCACTGGATTCCCTGCCCAGGGATTCCTTCAGTCAGAGGATTATCCAGAGTCAAGAGAGGCTGGCTAGCTTTCTAAGAAGAGGATTTTTTTTGTCTGAAAGGACTTGTTCTCAGTTACAGTTCCCTTGGGCATCCCATACTCCCTTTACCCCATTCAAGTTCTAAACCCCTTAATAAAATCACAAAACCCAAGCTCAAGGACTGACTACTGTCTTCTGGATGCAAGTCTGTGTAAAATGCATGTTTCCTGGGTGTGCAGGACTATAGGGGAACCCAAATCTCTAGCGACTCCGAAGGGGGTACTGCTACACTAAGTAGTCTCTGAAACAGGAAATAGAATATGTTCAACAGAGCCACCCACAGCAATTGAACAACTTTTATTAGAACAAAAAAGAGTTATCAGTTCTTTCAGACTTTTAAAGTTGTCTGTGCACCCGTTAGAGAGACAGACTACAAAGTGGTCACAAAGTTAAGGTTTGAGAGAAAATATTCTTAACTGAACAGAGCAAGAACATAAACTTGACATGGGTTCAAATTGATATCCAAAACTATAACAAAAAAAAGTTTGACTATAAGTGGGATTTAACCTCTTCCCACCTGCAATCTGTGTGTAAGTGTTCCCCAGCACAATGCCCCAAGCTGGACATATGATTATTAAGGTACATGGTTTGTGAGCCAACATCAGATGCTTGCACAGCTGGTGATGCTCAATCCTAACTGTGACTGAGAGTGGGCTCCTCACTGACAATTGAGATCTAATCAGAGTTTTTGTTGATCACTGTGTTACTAATGCAAGCTGGTGGTTTCATTCTTCAATGAAAACTGAAGGCAGCAGTGGTATCTGCAGTGCCATCCATTAAAATTATATGTGAACCCTTACCTTGTTACCACAGCCAGAAAGCTGACCACACTGATATTGATTTGTTTGTATGCCTAGTGTGGTCAGTTTGCAATAGGAAAGCATGGGGACTGGCAGGAACACCAGGGATCTCACACAAAGGAAGCAATACAAAGAGAATAGGATACTTTTTCATACAAGTACATGGTACAGCAGGCACATAATCACAAACTTAAATATGAAATGTTGGGGTAACATTGTTCAATGTTGAAATTTTAAAATACAATTACAGCATTAAAAAAAATGTTTTTAAATATTTACATTTTGCTTATTTGTCACTTTAAAATAAATAAAATAATAACAGAGCTTGGCTTTTATTAATAGTCTATAATAAATTGAGGTTATAATATATGACACTGTAAAAAAAACAACTAAGTGTTTTTTATTACTTCAGAAAGAGAAAAATCACATCTCATCCTCCACTGAAGAAGTTAAGATCCTTAAATGACCTTGACCAAGCAGGAGAGGAACAAGAAATCGAGTTCTTGAAGTTACAAGTTGTAGAACAACAGAACATTATCGATGATTTAACAAGGGTAGGATTTAACACCGTTGTATGATTGTTACATGTTTTATTGAATCTTTATGACCCCATATAGAATATAATGCATGCCTTTAGTGAAAGAGTCTCAATCAGTAAAATGTTTACATGTATATAGACAATGTGCTTTAATTTTAGGAGAACGTTACACATTAGCCTGCAGTATGACATTGTTTAGCCCCTAACTTGTATGTAAACTCTAATATTAAACTTCTCTTATTTGCTCTTTTGTGGTCTGTAAAATATACTATTGGAAGCATTTGTTAGATCTGCTTGATAATTTCAAATTTAGAAATTTAGAACTCTCATGTGTCCCCGTGCACATTTTCTCTGTTATCTTAAAGAAGCTCTTTAACTTTTTCAGGGGTGGTTGCATAGTTTAACAAAATAAACTATTCCGGGCTGATACCATTCAGTCCTCAAAACTATGTTTTCACCCCACAACAGGGCTTAAGAGCTGAGTGCATTTGTTGCAGATCAACAGGTATTGTTCTGTTCTTTACAAAGCTAAAATATATGGAAAATGTGCAGAGATGTACTGCATATGTTTTTCTTTTATTTTTACCTTGGCATACACCATAAAGTGATTAGTGCTGCTGTCCAAACTGCCCACATGCGCAGTATTTGAAGGGTGTTAGTACCCATAGTTCAGGTTGCACTCATAACAGCTACTGTTCACAATGAGTGTCCATGTAAAAGGTTTACAATTTACAGGTAAGCCAGGTAGATCAGCCTGAGCAGACACATTTAAATGTTGCTGACACGTAAGGTCCATCCCCCTGGTAAGATTCACAGGTAAATCTGGCACCTGTAGATCAAGTGGGAGCATTCTCTAGATCTGTCAGAATGATTTTCAATAAATCAAATTCAATCAGGGTGATTCTTGTTGACAAATAGAATGTAAATCTGGCACCTGTAGATCAAATGGGAGCATTCTCTAGATCTGTCAGAATGATTTTCAATAAATCAAATTCAATCAGGATGATTTCAAATAGAATGTTTCAAGTTCCTGAAACTGGTATTTTCTGTCCTCAGATAGGCTCACATGTAAACGTCACACAACATAAAAACATAATAATAAAAAAGATATTTTACCAATACATGTATTGGAAACTATATTTACAGTATATGGTACATATTGTTAAAGTCTTGCTAGATCACTTCATGCTGGCCCTTTTGCAGGTATAACTATGTAAAACATTACAAATAAGTGTCTATACTGTTTAAAATCCAGTAATAACACTGTCTCAACCAACTCTGCACATGTTCAGGTGCTCTCCATTTTTAGGCATTTATAGGCACTGCTGAGTCCGTAGAGACCCGATCTGCTGACAGCGGAATTAAACCCTCCTATCCTTTACAGCCAAGGAAGCTGCTTTTGTTTAATTTGCAACTACCATGGTACTGCACATGTAATCAGTTATGACACCAACCATTTGATGGTTTAGTTGAGGACACAAGCAAATGTGGTAGTTAGCAATCCCGGCATTCCAGGAATGTAACTGGTTTTTGAAACCTCAATGGGTTTAGTTCCTCTTTATGATTTAGGGCTCATTCACACCTTGGTATAGAGACTTCAGTTTCTCTTCAGGCATTCTGGAAGAGCATAACAAAATCAATTGTTCTCTATGTTCCCTGTTCACACCACAACAGTAGTATCTCCTGCAGATTCTTTCTGTGAAGGAATCTGCAAGGTGTATAAAACTCATTGAAGTGTGCATGAAAACTGATGTCTCTGCAAGTGAAATTTGCACATCTGCTTCCATCAGTTTTTCTGCATGTATGGTGTGAACAAGGCTTACTGCTGTTTAGGGGCTCTGGGCTTCAGCAAAATGGCAACTTCCAGCAAGAAGAAACAGGAGCAATGCTGGAGGCAATCTAAAGCACAAACTAATTTTGGCAGCTTAATTATTATTGTGGAATGTATGTTCTTTGCTAAAGAACATTATTTTTTATCAAGTTGTTATGAGTAATGTTCCAGTTTAAGCGAAAAGGCTAGTTTTTTACCTTTAATTGATAAAAATACATTTTAGTCCATAAAATGCTAAAATTGCTGGTATAATAAAAACCCATGTCACTCAGCCTTCAGCTAGCTTTTCATGTGCAAGCTATTCTACCATTTCAGGATCTCTTATGTTTACCCGACACACACTTCTGTTCTGAGGCACATCATATAATTTGAAGGTCCTATAGGCAAAAATGCTTCTCTGACTAATGATGGAGAACAATGAGACATCACTGAAATGTTCCAACCAGGGGCAGACTGACCATTTGGAAACTGCCCGAGGGCCTGGGGGTCAGTAGGGGGCCCCAAGAGATGCCCCTGGTACCTTTTTCATAGGCTTTTTTGAGTTTGGGCAAGGACACAGGGGCCCCATGATCCCCTATTGCCCGGGGGCCCCATGAATTGTCAGTCTGCCCCGGGTTCCAACCCATTCAAATTGCTTCTGAGGGAGCAGATCACCCCTGGTCCACATGCACCAATTGCCATAAAAGCGAAAGACTTGTTGCCATAAAAGATTCATTCAATGTAGACCCTAATACATGCAAAAATAATGCTATGATTTATTTTTATATTCTGCAACATTGTGTGAATTCGAATAGATATTATTGAGTTATTACTTTAGGATTAATGAAATGTTACTGCTAAGATAAGCAATTGGGAAAATTCCCCGGTGACCGGCTTTCTTTTTAAATGTTTCTTTGCATATTAATCTTTTGATCCATATTTAAATTAGAAGAGCCCGCAGCGACTGGCGATATTCACACAGTGCTTCTGTGTACCTATAGGGAAATTTTTAGTTTGTGCCTACTTTATATTAGCAGTTTTATTTGATGTTCAACAACAAGTTCATGTAAATGAGGGGACATGGGTGTTCTGCCCCTAGGCTCATTTTCTTTCTCAAAACCTACCGGTAGATTGCAAATAAATAAAACTGGGATAGAGGCATGGGAGGACAAGGGGCCATTTGCCTCTCCTAGGTCTATTTAGCAATGTTGTTTTACTATAATTATGATTATTCTTAGGCTAGTGCCAGAATTTTATCCATTTCCTTTATATGAATCACTGTTACATACACGCAAACAACATCTGACACACAGAATGTCATCCATTTTCAAAACATGTACTGTACATAATGGTGCCAGATAATCAGGTATAGAAAATGTGTAAATGTACACTGTATGACTGTGTGATTATTTTAAGGCTGAATTCCAGGGAATATATATATCTCATACATAAATTGAGCCAGCATGGTACAATGTAAGCATGCATACAGTCATGGCCAAAAATATTGGCATGCCTGAATTTCTGTCCCTGGTTTTTTTTTTTGTTCTTGTTTTATGCAGGGTTCTGGGACGCCACGGTCCGATCGCCATTGGGGGTGGAAATTGCTAGCTGCTTTATGTTTTTTTCTGTTGAGCGTGTTGCGCTGATACCGCCATGGCCTCGCCCCTTTTGAAAATACATTCACAAAATGTTCAAGGCTTCAATTCGCCTCAGAAGCGGGCTAAAGTTTTTCATCACCTCAAATCACAACAAATTGACATAGTATGTTTACAAGAGACCAGGTTTTCTCAGTCCTCCGCTCCGCGTTATCTTTCGCCTCACTATCCCACCTTTTACACGGCCTCGGCTCCTGAGAAGCGTCGGGGTGTACTGATAGCTTTTAAACGCAATCTTCCTTTTGTCTGTGTTCGGAATATAGCGGACCCCACGGGTAGGTATTTGCTTCTGCAAGGCACCCTCTGGGACCAGGAGGTTATTTTTGTCTCTTATTACGTGCCTCATCGTTTTCAGGATAAATTTTTTTTCGCATCTTTGCACCATTGTTTCCCGACATTCCAAGGGTCTCTTCCTTGTTTTGGGGGATTCAAATGTTACTTTGGACTCCACATTGGATAGGCGCTGCGCTCGGGGGGGCGATCCCTTCTCATGACTCGGTGCGGGAGGAACGTATGCGCTCTCTCTTGCGGACAGCGGGGCTAGCGGATGTCTGGAGGGAGCTTCACCCAACTGAACGCGACTTTACATTCTATTCTATTCCAATCCTCATGACAGTTTTTGTAGAATTGACCATATATTCACGCAGGTTCAGCAGCTTCCCTTGGTCAGGCGGATAACTATTCCCTCCTCACCCTGGTCAGATCATGATCCCTTGGTATTTCTCCTTGCCCTCTCTGGGTCAGAACGGCGCATCAACGATTCTTTATTGACTACTCAGACTACCTGCCAACAAATAGAATTTGTTTTTACGAACATACTTCACGGAAAATTCGGGATCGGTCTCTTCGGCAGTGCCCTTATGGGAGGCGCATAAGGCCATGGTGCGGGGCCATGTTATACAGCTGGCGGCGGTCTGGAAGCGGGAGCGGGAGCGCCGACTTTTGGAGCTTCATTCTCTCCTGGCCTCTGCGGATGCGCGTTGGAAGTCATCTCCGTCCGCGGCCCATAAACGTGCTCGGGACGCTCTGGCGACAGAATTAGACCTACTTGCCTCTTCGGAGGCGGAGCGGGCCCTGCGTTGGACCAAACACAAATTTTGTTCCTGTGCTAATAAACCGGGCCCGATGCTGGCCAGGAAACTCAATTCTGTGGGGAAACCCCATAAACCGATCTGACTGCGGCTTCCCACAGGTGGATGTACTTCTAATCCCCAGCATATTGTTTCCCGATTTTCGGACTTCCTTTCGCGCCTCTACACTAAACCAGATCCCTTCCCCGTGGCTCAAGCAGAGGCATTCTTTCAAGATCTCCATCTTCCGGGATTGTCTGAGGCGGCACAGGTGGCCCTCAACGCCTGTATTACCATACCGGAAGTGCTCCAAGCCATCAAATCTTTACGGTCCACCGCGGCTCCAGGTCCTGATGGCTTCTCCGGTCTCTATTATAAGAAATTCTCGGCCCTGTTGGCACCCTTCTTGGCTGCCTATTTCAATGAGTTACGACGAGGCTCCCTGCCCTCTCCAGACGCGCTTAGAGCGCATATCTCCATGATTCCTAAGACGACCAATGATGTA